GCTGCTTGGCTGAGCAGAAATATAAGACCCTGTCTGAAAATTAACTAAAAGCAAAAAGCGGGCCAATATTGTGTGACTCAAGTGAGAGAGCAAACTGTTACTAATAAGGAAAACTTCACAGGGAAGAGGGGATTTATAAGAACTCTGCACTTTCTGATTAATATTTTAGTAAACATGAAATGGTGCCATAAATAATCTACTGGTTTAAAAAGCACAAATTCTAGTTACATTGGCTACAAAAACTCTCAGTCCTTCTTGTGAGGCCATGGTTATAAGGGGCAGCCCTGCCATAGGTGCCAACATGGCACAGTGGCCTTAAGTGAGACTGTTGCCTGGCTAGCCAGAAAGAGAATGACAGGTAATGGGTTCACAGGTATATATTCTTGGAGCTTTGATTGCCAGACGAATTTGACTTTGGTTCTATAAGCAATGGTGAGTGACACAGAGAACTCTGGGCTTCAGGAGACCTGGAATGCAGTACTGTGATTCTGCTCTGTGCCTCTTTCCCCAGCAGGTGCAGTGAGGAGGCTTTACTAAGGCATCAGCGAGGTTACCCTCAGCGCTGCGGCTCTGAGATCAAAGCCTGTTCCTACTTTCAAACCCCTTTTCCCTTCCCCATTCCTGTTCATTTTTTCTGTCACTCTTTGCTGTGCTGTGGCTAGATCTATCCCCTGGAGGGAATGCCTGCTGCCTTGGGAACACTTTTTTTCTTTTTAATTTATTTTTCTCTCTCTTTGAAATCTTCAAGGAGAAGAGCCAAAAATCTGTGCCCGCTTCTAAGCAGCCACTTGGAAGGGAGTTTGAAGTCAGGAGACCTGTCATGACATCCCTCAGGGTTACAGAGTAGGGTTCCCGCCAGGGCCTCTGCTTGCTAAACTCTGAACTGTCCAGACTGCTGGCAGATTCCATGCCCGGCCCTGCCTGGAAGCCTCCAGCTGGTTCTATGCATTGGGGGAAGGTTTCTCTGCTCTTTCCAAAATGTCTCCTGTCATCACAGTGTGATTTATGAGCATTTCCTTCAAAATATGAGAAAACTGGCTCCTGAAGATGCCCTGTATTAGAGGAGGCTGAGCATTTCAAAGAAGCAATATCTCCCTAGATCCCCATCTTCTTAGGCAAAGGGGGCAAGAGGTGAATACAGATGAAAAACACAGGCCACGGAGGTCTGGAGGACCTATGACAGCATCGAGAGCAATATTGTCACTAAGGGATGCGACTTTCCTAGCTCTGCTTTGAGCTTCTTCTTTCTCACAGAGGGTGGGTACCTAGCAGCATACTGTTGCTGGGAATACTATAAGCTTACTTCGAAGAAGGATCTACAGAGCATGGTGCTGGACCCAGAACAGATACACTCTTGAAATGCTGGCAAATGTGGAGACTCTTGTAACCATGGATTTGAACAGTGTTAGTATGGCAGGGTGTGATCTTGTGGGAATGCTGGTACTTCCATTGCATTCTGGCAGTGGGCCACCTACTACATGTTATCTGTGTAGCTCTAGTCAGAGAACAGAATGTGACCTTGGGCAAGTCCCACATCTTGGTTGACTTAAAGCTTTTATTTCTTCATCTGCAAACCAGAGGATACTATTCATAAGAGTGTAAGGGTCTGATATGTGTGGTGGGTAGTGTGTGGGTGGTGTCTGGTGTATGTGGTATGCACTTTGTATATTCTGTGGGGTGGTGTGTGTAAGGTGGATCTCTCTTTCTTTCTCTGTCTCTGTCTCTCTGTTTTTCCAGAAATAGAATATATATATATATATATATATTCCATATATATATAGAATATATATAGAAATAGAATATATATATATATATATATTCTATTTTTTGAGTAGTTTTTTTTTCTGAGTAGTTCATTGGAGATAAGAGTCCCACTCACTTTCCTGTCCAAGCTGCTTTGAAGCCCTGTCCTCAGGTCTCAGCCTTCTGAGTAGCTAGTATTATAGGCATGATCCACTGGGGTGCCTGGCTAGCTGGATCTCTCACTTAGTACACTTGAGCAAAGGCACTTGATAAGGGTTTATAATTAGTGCTGCACAGATATTGATGTTCAAGCATCCTATTTTGTGCTGACACAAGCCTCTCACTATCACACCCTCCCCACCCCAGAGCTTTCCTTTGAGGAGCTAGGTAGCCACATCTGAAAATGAAATATCTGAAAGAGTGAAAACCACCACTTCCAGACTGGCAGAGCAGTCTGAGGTGGCTGTGGGTCCTGAGAGAGTTCAGAAGAGGGTTGCTAGCCAGTGGCCCAAGCCTTGCTGGTGAAGTAGCTTCTGCCAGGGCTCCGAAGAAAAAGCTTGCAACCTCTTTGCTCTCTATCCTCCAGATGAACTTAGTGGGAAAAAAATCTCTTTTCCTAATGCATTTTAACTTGATACCAAAAGGTTTCAGTCTAGGTTTATAAAGCTACAAAGAATATGTTTCTGCCATCTTTTAAGTATTGACATTTTAGAATAACATTATAATACTCTCAACAATGTATCAAATGGAACCTCAGTTACACAGCCATTTCTTATGTGTTCTTCTTGTTGAAGTGTCACAAAAGTGTAAAAGAATGTACAGATCTTAAGTGTGCAACTCAATTTTGATCAATGGTACTTAACCACCCACCCAGGTATGGGACATTTCCAGAATGCCAGAAGGCAACTTTGTTTCCCTTCTCAGTTAATACTCTGTCAAAGGTGACTACCACTCTCATCTTTGTCATTATAAACTATCTTTTCATGATCTCATTTGTTTTGGCTGCTTTCCATTAGGTCTATGCATTTCAAGTATGTTGCTTTAAATAGCAGTAGTAGCTCACTCCTCTTCCTTGTGATATAGTATTCTACTAAATGATTATCTCACATTAAAAAAGTCTCTTTTACTGGCACTGGATACTTAAGGTTGTTTCTACTATTTTGCTGGAAAGCTAGTTCTGTTGCATGTGATTCTTTTGGTAGAATTCCATTGGTAGAATTGCCAGGTTGTAGGATAAATGCTGTAATAGATGGTATTCTCTGTAATCCATCAACAATTACCCCAAAAGAGTGAAGAAAATTACATTGTTTCTTTATCTTCTTGAATTCGTTCATGGAATTTTCTCTTGATCCATTTTTATGCTTGAGACTTGTTGGTTATGTTACTTCTTTATTTCTTCCCAAAACATAAATGTAAATTGAATAGATATTTCAAATTCACCCTTGACCATACAAATCTAATGATCTTTCTTTTGGATTGGTTTATAATTTTAGTCATCATGAATCTACAATCCTCAGGATGACATCAACATTTTACACATCTGATTAACTGTGAAATACAAAAGGCAGCATTGTGGAGGAAATGCATGATGGAGCAGTCAGGGCCAGGTTAAAATGCAGATTCTGATTCAAAAGGTCTGGGTTGGGGCTTGAGATCCTGTTTGTCTGTTGTTTTTTCCCTAGCTTTATTGACATTTGGACATTGATAGACAGGTGATTGCACATAGTCAGTGTATACATATTGATGGGCTTGAGTAGGTCCATGTGTTCAAGTCCTGTGGTAATGGTTATGGTGATCCTGCTGGCTCGTGGACCTGTGACCTAGGCGAGATTTCAAAGCAGTTTTTATTTTTTATTTTATTTTATTTTTTGTCGGTTGTGGGGGTTAAACTCTGGGCCTGGGCCCTGTCCCTCAGCTCTTCAAGCTCAAAGTGAGCACTCTATCACTTGAGCCACAGCACCACTTCCTCAGAGCAGTTTTTAAGAGAGAGTAAGAGTAGACCCTGAGGATCCTAGGTGGATTTCCTCTCTCCTCCCTGAACTGCAGGCTCCTCAGGGAAGTCTTTGTGCACCTCCATTTTCAGACTCTCTCTCTAAAGGATGTTAAAAGGATGCTGGCCACCTTTTTAGACAACACCTTTTGGCCAGGTAAAATGGATGTTCCACGGACTGGTTTGAATGGTTTGGAGATAATGTGGAGAGAAACTCCTCAGCAATAATGTTTGGGTCTCTGCGGTGATGACTTTGAAATCCATGGTGAGAATCTGGACTTTATCCTCAGGCCACGGGGGGGGGGGGGGGGGGGCTGGATTCTGAGCAGGTTGCCAGTATGAGCAGAGTATTTGAGACAGATGGATGTTTTGAGAGCTTGTGGGGGTGGCTGAGGAGGAGTCCCTACCTACCTGGGGGCATGGCAGCAGTGACACCATGAGGGCTTGATGATGAGATTGGCTGTGCTTATTAGGATTCAGCCGTGATTTTTTAAATTCTTGACTCTCAGCTTCTCAGTTTTTATGCTGGCTGCCCAGACCTGGTTTGATCACTCAGTATTTTCTGAAGTGTGGACTCCATTCTTCTAGTGGCTCTTCAAATGTTTATACATGGAGCTCAAGGTGATTTAAAGCAGAATGCAGGCCTGGCCTCAAATAATGGCTCCCAGAGGGAGCCATATCCTCTTGGCAACCCTCTTGGTTCTGACAGTCCTGGAGAATGTCTTCCTTTAGCACCTCTCACTATGCCACTTCCCTTTTGTTGACAGACAACAAACCACTCAGGTTGAGGGCCTTTGGCAAGCAATAGTCCAGATAGGATTTTGCATAATTATTGTTTTTGTTGAACTCATTTCCTGTGTCCTGGGCTGCAAGGTCATGACATAAACCTAGTCTTTCTCAGCAAGTTCATTCCAGTAAGAATAAATGAGCTAATCTACTAGATCTTAGGGAAGAACTTCATAGCCATCCACCACCACCCAGCCCCAAACTGTACATGTGGGTATTTCAGAAATATGAACATGACATGTATGAAATCAGTTTGGAGCAGTGGCTTAGGCTGAGTGGCAAAAACGGGGTCTCTATCATATCTTTGTGCCTGTGGGTTGCCAAGTAATGTTCAAGCTCAGACCAGCCCTGGGTGGTAGTGGGGGGAGTGGAGGGGTGCTGCTTAGGTTGCTGGGTCTGGGCTGGCATTGCTGGGACAGTTGGGTGGGTCCCGCTGCTGTCCCCACCAGTGGCCTAACCTTGGCCTCCTTGCCTCCTGCAGAGATCCGCACGCAGCTGGTGGAGCAGTTCAAATGCCTGGAGCAGCAGTCCGAGTCTCGGCTGCAGCTGCTTCAAGACCTCCAGGAGTTCTTCCGCAGGAAAGCTGAGATCGAACTGGAATATTCCCGCAGCCTGGAGAAGCTGGCTGAGCGTTTCTCCTCCAAGATCCGCAGCTCCCGAGAGCACCAGTTCAAGTGAGAACCTGGACATGGGTCCAGGAGGTGGGAGGCTGTCGGGCGGGCAGGCAGGCAGGCAGCCAGACAATGGGTGACAAGGTACGAAGGAAGCCAGACTTTGTGAGGCAGAGGGCATGCATGCAGTGAGGCCCTGGCTCCGAAGGCTCCTTGTACTTCTGGGCCCGCATTGTCCTCATGCATAAAGTGCAGGTGGAAATAATTAGAACTAGAGGAGGAAGGGAGAAAGGAGTAACCCCAAGCAAAGTTCTTGTCCCAGACACTAAGTGCCAGTATTTATGTGACTATTATTAGCCTACCAAGCACCTGGCACACAGCTGTCTCTATTTATGCCTACATGATACCCTTCTCCCTTAAGGACATCCTGACCCTACCTAGTTGTGCTTTCATCTGGGTGCCAGCCAGCTCCCGTCCAGATTCCTTCAGCACAATGACCTTAACATTCCTTCTCCACTGAGCAGGTACTTGAACCATTCCTGTCTCTTGCTTCCTCCTCAGTACCCAGAGGCTTTCTGCCCTTATCTACTCGATTATGGTGTGTGGACCCTTACCTGTTGTGACTTTCCACATCCTCTGACTCTGGGCTTCCCCCATGGTGGGCTTCCCCGGTGGTGGGAGCTCTGGCTACAGAGACAGGCCCTGCTGGGGTCTCATCTCCTTCTCTACCCATTCCTCCTGGGAAAGGAACCAGATCACTTTCCACACTAGGAAGAGGGGCAAGGTAGGATGGGGGACACAAGGGCCACCTGTTCCCTTGCCTGGCCTGTAATGAGCTTGGCCAGCTCCGTGTGGGTTCATTAACTGAGCCACCACATGGAACAGGAGCCCCAGCTGGCAGTCAGGCCAAGCAGGCTGCTTGTCACACTATGAAAGTCCAATTAGGGTGTTATCCAGGCGGATTCAGCTGGGGATGGGCACTCTGTGTGATGGTAGGGCTCCCCATGGCTTTTGGAAGCCAAGAGTCTTTAGGGCGGGCTGGACTCACCTTTGACCCCAGGATGCTCACTGACCTCTGGCTGCCTCTCCCTTGGAGCTCAGTACATGAGGTCTGGGCTGTGCTGTGAGCCCTTTAGCCTCTCTGGCCTGCTTTCTTCATTTAAGAGTGGCTTCTGCCCTCCCAGTAGTTCAAGGGCTGGAGGGCAGGGTCTGGGTCTTGTTCTATTCTTACTGCAGTGAGCCCAGCTCTGGCCACAGATAGATGCTTGTGAGGTGAAGGAAGGGAAGAAAAAGAGAGAGAAGGAAAGGAAGAGGAAGAAGGAAGAGAAGGAGGAGGAAAAGGAAGGAGGGAGTTTATTTGATCTATATAATCCATTTTGGCTGAGACATATGGTTCAGAGACAGAAGTGATGTGTCCAAGATTTTGTAGCAAATTAGAGGCAGAACTGAGATCCTTTCACTATAGGCCCAAAGTGTCTCCTTTGCTCTGGGGCCATAGCTTCCCCCGGGCCCCAGGTGTTCTCTACCTGTCTGGACAATGGGAAGACACATAGCTTTCAGAAGGTACTGTGTTCAGGCTGAGACTCAGCTGGGCTCAGTTCTGTGTGGCACGTGATTCAAAGGAAGTTCCCGATGACAATGATGGCCCTGATGGAGGACCTCCGGGGCAGGCTGAACATTTGGAGAACAATACAAAATTCCTTTTCTTTTCTGTTTTGCTTTTTTTTTTTGTGGTATGGAAGTTTGAACTCAGGACCTTGTACTTGTTAAGAAGGCGCTCAGTTACCTTCAGCCCTCCCCCTCAACCCTGGGGACTTAAGACAGGGACTTTCTGGGCTGGACAACGATTCGCCTATTTTAGGCTTGCCACAAGAGCCAGGCTGACAACCACCTGTCTCCACCATTGAGATGGAGTTTCATGGACATTTCTGCCCAGGGCGGTCTTGAACCCTGATCCTCTGGATCTCAGCCTCCTGGGTAGCTAGGATGACGAGTGTGAGCCACCAATGCCTATCTGCCTTGCATGTTTCTCCCCATCCAAGACCCAGACTTGAACTCATTATCTGACCCTTTATGCTCATTGACAGGTGCCCTGCCAGGTAAACCACACCTCCAACCCCATACTTTGCATTTTTTACTTTTAAAGGTTAGAGGGTGAGAATGCAGCTGAGAAAACTCATAGGGGGGGTAGGTATGGATGAAAATCAAGTGGTAATTAGAGTTGCTGTGGGGACACTGTATCCTTTGACTGACTTAGGACCTAGGTGAAATGTCCCCCATTCCTGTACCCATCACCCAGCTCTGGGTTTCTGAGAGGGCAGAGTGGCCTTGGCAGCAGCCTTGCTATTTGGAGAAGGAAGACTAGACAAAGCAACAATCTGGAGGGCCAGTTTGCAAAGCTTGGTGATATGGGAGCTTGTCTGGAATGCAAAATCTCATTCTCCTATCCTCAACTGCTGTACCATCAGTCTGCCTTACACAGCCTGCCTGCACCTTGTGGTCGACAACTGCCCGGGAAGATGATTTTCTAGATGAAAAATAGCTCACATCCCACTCTCAGGCTGCACTAACCTTCCCTCCTTTGACCAGCACAGAACCCAGTCACTGCTCTTTCCAGCTCACCTGCAAGGCTTAGCTTTTCTTTTTGAAGGCCTGGAGTGGGAGCCTTCTGAGAGCATGACTGTGCTGTGGAGGATAGCATGCAGGGCCTTGAAGCTGGGGGGGTGAGTGGGCTGTTCTGGACAAGCTGGCTAGTTCCATGAAGACAGGATTCTCAGAACTTAAATCCTTTCTTCCTCTAGGTTTTCTAGAGAACTATTTTACAGCTCAGTACTGATGGCTCAGGTCTGTAATCCTAACCACACAAGAGGCTGAAATCCAGAGGATCATGATTTGTGACTCTTATCTCCAATGTACCAACAAAAAGCCAGGCTGGAGACATGGCTAAATGGTAGAGCACAGATTGAACAAGCAAGCCAAGCAAGAGCCAGGCCCTGAGAAACCCTGGATTAAAACCTTGATACCAAAAGGAAAGAAAAGAAAGAAAGAAATGGTTTTTAAAACACTTAACACTTTGATGTGTTTGGGGTTGAAAGTAGAGAGGGAAGCAAGAGGGAAGAGAAGAGGAAGAGAATGAGAAGGAGGAGGAGAAAGGTAAGGGATAAAGGAAAGAGGAAAAAAGAATCCTGTGTTGGGAACATAGGCCTACCTTATACCTCCATTTAAAGATTCCAAAAGTACATTGGTATATGGCAGGCTCTGAGAACTTTTGCAACTGGTTGACTTCTTTCTGGAAGTTATTTGGCCACAGAATTCTCCCTCCTCATAACATGTATTTATATTTCACAAATGAGCACCCCTTGGGACAGAACTTAAAAAGCTCTGTTGTAGACAAATACTGATTTCCCTCTTAGTATCCATATTCTGCAAATATTGCTCCATATTTGTGACAACCACAGCTCCTTTCTATTCCAATTCCCTTGATTTGTGATAGCCATCACCTCCCAAAGGAAATGCCACTAAAAATGCTTTGTCCAGAGGGGTTGTGTGTTCCTGGCTGGTTTTAGGACCATTGTGAGAAAAGCAATAAGGAATTCCACTGAAATATGGAAGAATTGTTTGGGAAAAGTCAGATTTTTAGAGAGAATTGGGAGGTGCTCAAGTGGTTAGTAAGTAATATTCTATGCAAATATATTGCACAGGAGAGGTTTGGACTGTCTTCCAGCTTCATAGGACAGCTGGGTGGGAGGATCCAAGTGAATAACTAACTTCACTTCAAAGAAAGCGCTTTGCATTTAGATCTAGCCTTCCAGGTTATTCCTGAACAGAGAAGCATTTTTGCAGTGTCTGAATTGGGCTTATGTGCAACAAATTCAGGATTAACAGGTTGCTCAGTAGAGATGAAGATGGAGAAAAGCCCAGGGCGGGTCTGTGTCTTCACAGATAGTCATTACCATTTCTATGACCAGAATCACTCTAGTAAATTGTTTCATTTTTTTCAACTATCTCTTACCTCCACACTACCAGGGCCCAGTGCTCTCCCAGAAAAATCACAGGCACCATATCATGAGCTTTCTTGGTAAGTGTTGTATCTGGGTGGCAGATACTATTTTTACCTTTCTAGTTGGAAATCAGGAGATTGTAAGGAATCTTAATTTGCCCAGAGGGACACAGCTATAGCCCTTAAGTAACACAGCTAGGAAATCTTGGTTAGTCTGACTCCAAGAGTCAAAAATACTAAATCTGTGTTTCCTCCCGTCTGTAGCTAAGACATCGTCTGACCAGACCAGTTTTTCCTTGAGTGGGTATTAGGAGTACCTACCCCCCTGCCTGGCCAACTCTGCTCTTCTCACAGAGGCTGCTTAGGGGCACTGCCTCGGCAAAGCTCCCCAAAGGGATCCCAGGCTTGTAGGCAGTGGCTTCTCTGACTCAACTGGTTATGTGTGTGTTTCTCCTGGGGCCTGGGTCAGACACACATACACATACACACATGTTCATGCACACACACACACACTTTATACTCTATAAAGTTTTGTGAATGAACGACTACAAGGATGAAGGTACTAATGAGGATTTTCTTTATATACAGGAGGGAAAAAGACTTATTTGGGGCTGCAGGAGAGAAGCCAAACAAGGATAGCATTTTCCGAGAGGTAGATTTCAAGTCAACCTTAATTCTAGTAGCCAGAGCTATCCAGCCATGAAAGGGCCTCCTAGGGAGACAATGAACTCCCATCCATGGGTATCTTAGGTGGCCATTTTTCTAATATCATGGATGGTTCGATCCAATCTACATTCCTCAAAATATGGAGGAATGACCCATGAAACCAAAATGCTGAATTCCTTTTCACTTCTCAATTCTTTTCAGTGGCCTTGAGTACAAAAACCTCAGTTGGTTGTGTGTGCTGTTAATGGCTCTCTGGTCTCCTTTTGAGAAATAGAGAGCAGACCTTAGGCTCAGCACCTCCTTAGGACTGAATAATGCTGTTTTGTTAGCTTTGATTTTACTTTTTCAGTAGTCTGCAATTTATAGCAGGGAAAGCTTTAAAAAGCAAAAGTGAGAGCAGAGAAAGTCCTCTGTACATGTGTATGTAAAAAGCAACAATCACCCAGGAACTGTTGAGCATGGTGTGCAGCAAGGCAGTGATGTTGAAGCTGGGGTAAGCTCCCCGTGGGGCCCCTCCTGGGGTCCTCCTGTGAAGTAGGCAGCTTTCTCTTCCACCTTCCTTTCTTCATCTCCCGCAGAGGTTTTAAGATTCAGTTTAGAGTATGCTCTTTGCGATGACTGCTGCCCCTTTTCTTCCTCTTAGTCTCTCCATCTGGCTTTCCCAATTTCACACAGGTTCCCTGGAGTCTTCAGAGACTATTTTCGGCACACTCCAAAGTGTCGATCAGGATGCAGCTTGTTTATTTATGTCTGTGCTTGATATATATACATACATGGACATCATTTAAATTTTATACTAAAAATGGAAAGTAGATGTGGCAAGAAAGGAGATCTTTCTGAAGTAGTATGTAGGGATTTAGTTATCTCTGGATTTTAACTAGGCAAAGCTTACACTTTGCTTCTTCCTTTACCAGCCCTCAGCTGCTTTAGCTCTCCCCAGGGGTCCCAGTGGGGTAGAGAGAGTCAGGAAAGGAGTCCCTGTCCCCACCTAGTAGGCAAGGGAGCTGAAGGCCAGGCAGAGCGAGCCCAGATGAAAGAAGGGACCAGACTAGCTTAAGGTGAGGATTCTTTTCCTGTGCCTTATTTTGTAGATGGATCCATAAAGCACCAAGGCTTACATGGAAGGAGATGATAGCCCAGGTGATACCTGGTGGGGCAGGGAGTTCTGTTTTAGTAGGCTGGAGACTAGGGACCTGGCTTTTGGGGAAAGTGTCAGCTGCAAAAACTTGCCTTCCTCTCAGAAGAACCAGGGTCTTGGGGCAGTAGATTCTGGTTCATCTGCAATATGGGGCTCTGAAGCTTGGAACTGGATTCTGTTTGCTAAGCGGAATTTTCCAGCCCCCAGCTGAGAAGTTGGAGAAGCTGCCTCACTGCTAATTTCATTTTCCTAGCTCACCAGCTTGGCAAGGCTTCGTTTCTCCAGCCTCAGTCTCTTGGAACCTCATACCCACTTCCCTTAGCCAAAGAAAGAAAGAAAGAAAGCTGTGACTCACCAGAAATGTTCATTGCTACTTTCTGGCCATAAAAAAGGAAAATATATACATATGCAAAAGTTCCAACATTATGTCCTAGCTCAGCAGCTCTCTGCCTGCAGAGAAAAGGCTGGGCTGCAAGATGGGAAGAGCAGAAAGGTTGCTCAGACCGTGCCTTTAATGAGAGTGCACTGGCCTGGGTTCACCACAGCATCTTCTAAGTGGGAGTCTGCAACAGCAAAGATAGCTGCTGGCAGAGAGAGCTGCCAGGATCTCTGGCTATTTGCAAAAGGGGCAAGTGACCCCCTGGAAAGAAAGGGCTGATGCTTCAGGTGTCTGCAGCCACATGAGATGTGGAGCCACTTCTTGTACTCCCAGGATAATTCAGATGACACACCAGTGGTGCTCTATACATCTATCAGAAATAGGCCTTGAAGACCTACTAGCCCCATCATGTGCCATCTTCTGTCCCTGCCCACCTAACCTCCTTTGATCACACTGGCCTTGATTCAGTCCCTCTGCTCTACTCCAGCATACCCTTCCAAACTCTTTCTCTGGCACCCTCCAACTTGTCTTTCTGGTCAGTTTCCTAGCCCTTTCTCAAGGATGCTTCAATGACCCTGCCCCCAAGCTCACCCAGTTCCCTTTGTTCTGGGCTGTCATGCTCCCTTCCTCTGTGGTTCTTTCTGCCAGTCTAAATACATACATACATCTGTGGGATGTATATAGGGATGCTGTCTTCCCCACATCCTGTCTGCTCCCTGGAGGCAGGAACTACATTGTATCCTATGGCCCAGCCTTACAAAGTACTTAACACAGATGGATCATGGGGCTGCAGAGGTTTGCCACCTCCCCAACCTGGTGTTTGACACTGTGGTTAGCTAGTTCTTATGGGATGGGTGATCTGCATAAGAGCACTCAGGCAGGATTGCTAACAGAGAGGAGCACCTACCCCCGAGTCCAGGTGACTCAGTTTTACCACGTTGGCTCCCATTTGTGGCCCAAGGAGGCAAAAGGCCTGGTACCACTGTGAGGCTGCAGGTGCCAGCTTTCTACACAGAGGTCAGTTCTGGCCCTGACCCAGTGGACAGTTCACCTCGATCTTTTAGTCTACAGCTGAGCTGCCTACCTCACACATACAGGAGGGGAAGAGGGAGGGCAGAGCTGGAGAGCTGGGTGGTTAGATGGCAGGTGTGGAACAGCATTCCAGGTCCCTCCCGGCCCTCTTTCCGTCACCAGGAAAGGACTGTCCGAGCCACCTCCCTCTAGTGGCAGCCTTGCCAAGCTTCCTGGAGGTTTGCTTCCCCTTCCAGGTTGTCATGTGTGTCTGTGAAGTGGTTCAGTCTGTGTTATTCTGTGGTTTCAGATGTCATCCCAGTACTTGCTGTCAGCTTCTAGTCTTAACCCTAGCCCGGAGGCCTCCAGATCCCTTTGAAGTGAACATACTCTCTCTCATCCCTGACCTCCTGGCTCTGCTCTTCACTCACAACAAAGGCTTCCTCTATACACCCAAGTGTCCCAATCAGAAAACTGGGGAGTCATTCTGAATCTCTTTTCCTCCCCTCAACTCCCACTCCTACCAGGTTTAATCACTTTACTACCCCAGTATTGAACTCCTTAGCTTTTCTCTTAGCTCTTGGATGTTGCCTGCTGTCCTGTGTGTAGCCATGTGTGGGGGAGGGAGGGGGTCTGAAAGTGCCGTTTCAGAGGTTGGAGATGTGGCTCAAGTGGTAGGGTACCTGCCAATGAGCATAAAGCATCATCCCAGTCTCTGACAGAAAAAAAAGTAAGTGCAATTCTACCCTTTTATTTCCCTGTTCTAAACCTTGCAGTGGCTCCTGGTTGACCTTGCAGGTCACATTCCTAAAGCTCCTTTGCTGTATGGTTTTGCCTATTTCTCTCCAGCTTTAGCCATTCTCAATCCCACTTTAGAACACCATGCAAGACCCCCCCCCCCAGCGATGTCTCAGTCACCCACCTGCCCCCTCCTGGTTCTTGGCAGACATTTGGTCATCACACTTTTCCACCTGAAAAGATTTTCCCATGGATACTCCAGCCCCACCTTTGGTTCTCAGTCTAGAAAGTGCTTCTTCCAGGAAGCCTCTGCCCCACAGCTCCTTCCTATTAGGACCCTGCCCATCATTCTGTTTCCTGTGGATCCTAGCTCCCTTACTGAAGTGGAATGTCACAGCTCAGGGGCTTGTGCACCTTCTGTTGGACCCAGTATGTATATGCACACACACACACACACACACACACACGCCCACACTGGGAGCAAAGTAAGAACAGGAGTAAGGGTCAGAGACCAAGAGTGCTTAGCACAGATACTCCATGGGGCAAGATAGGATCATTGGTTTGTGTTGTTTTTGTTTTTTTTTTCTTTTTTCCTTTTTTAGTGACTTGCTGTGTAACTCAGGTAGAACTAGCTTGTTTTCCAGGGATCCTCCTTCCTTAGCCTCCCAAGTACTAGAATTATAGCCATGTGCTATGATGCCCTACTCTGGATTTTGATTTTCAGTTGTTCTCCTTTCCTTCCTAAGGCTCATAGAGTGGTCTTGGTATAAAGTATGGGAGAGAGTTGTGTTTCACTAGTTTGGAAAGCACTCAGACTTGAGTGTGCATCAGAATCCCCTGAAAAGCTTCTTAAAACCCAGATTTCCTGGGCTGATCCCAGTGTTTCTGGCTCAGCAGGTCTGGAGTGGATCTGCAGAATCTGCATTTCTGATAAGTTCCCTGGGTATGCGGGTGCTGCTAGTTGGGGAAATCCTGTGGGATGCCCTGGGTAGCATAATGCCCAGCCAGAGATGCCTAGGGATCTCTCAACCACGGGAGGACACAAATTGTCTTGAATATACTTAACATGTATTTTCCGTAACCCTTCCTCCCAAATGCAAAGGCAAAACCCTCAAGGCCCGTGCCTCTCAAAATTCCACAGAAGGACGACGGAAGGGCAAAGGGGTTAAAAGAGCTTGAGTGAATCCCAGAGGCTGGAAGTGGCAGATGAGGGGAGACATATCCTCCTTCTGTTCTTTGTCCCACAGTTCTAGAACTCATGCACGTGTTTTAGATATAGTCCATTTACTACTTCTTAGCCCCTGGGGAGGCAGCTGCTTTTCACAAGGTGAAAGTACATCCAGTAAGTACCACGTTACAAGAGAGTAGACGCAACAGGATTAGTGTCAAAGGCTTGGGCAGTGGGTTCTGGCTCCAGTCATTTGACTGTGGAGAAATCACTTAAGCTCTCCCGAGCCTGCTTCCCCAGGTATATAAAAACCAACCCTCGGGGGCTCCATGAGGTCAGTGATTACCTGACATGACAGTTCCAGTGAACCAACCTGAGCTGCCTTGGTTCCCCCAGAAAGGACCAATACCTCCTCTCCCCTGTGAACTGTTGGTATCTGGTCCTGCATCAGACCCGGCGGGAGAGCCGAGACCATGCCACCCTCAATGACATCTTCATGAACAACGTCATCGTCCGCCTCTCCCAGATCAGCGAAGATGTCATCAGGCTCTTCAAGAAGGTAGGCAAGTGGGCTTCTCCGTCTGTCTCAGGTCTTTTGCCCCAGACCGGCCATGGTAACACTGTGCCATGAGGGTGGGAGGCGGTTTGGGGGCAAGGGACTGGAAGGGCAGGTGTTGAAGGACAAGGGACTGTGGGTCATACTTGGTACTCCAGCCCTGAGTTTGACCCTCAGATGTGCCTTCCAGGGCATGATCTCAGCCACTTTAGCAATGACCACCACAAGACTAAAGACCTTTACCTGGATAGGTAGGTAGTGAAGGTACGCTGTAAGAAGTCTGGTAAAGGGAAAACTGAGGGAAAGTAAAGGAAGGGGTGACATTGTTCAAAAAGAAATGTACTCATTACTTGACTCATGAAATGGTAACCCCTCTGTACACCTTACTAATAACAATAAAATTGTATTTAAAAAAGAAGTCTGAAAAAATGGAGATGAATGCATATATATAAATTAAGACTCCCAGAAATGGTATCACTCAGGCAGTCTGATGTTTTAGGAAATTTCTTTGATGCACAATGCAGCTGTGCTTCCTATGAGTGCTTATGATTGATACATTTTCTAGCATGCAGATACATTTTTTCCCCAAATGAGAACAGTCTTGCATGTATGGTGTTACTCCCTGCTTGTTACCTAGCAAATTGTAAAATGTTCTGTTACACAATTTTCCCACATCAAAAATACATTTCTATAGCATTTTGAATGATTGCATAGCATTTCATTATATTGATGTACCCTAGCTTGTGTGCCTAATCTTTGATTGTTGAACATTTAGGTGATTTCTGTCATTTAAATAATGCTGCTGTTAGCTTCTTTTGCTTTCACAGTTTTGCTTTCTTAGGGTTGATTTTCTGCAATAGAATTTTAGAGTGAAACATTGGTTTGATTTCATTGCTTTAGGTGGTGTATTCTATTTCCTCTGGAAAGCTACAATGTCTAAAAGGCAAAAGGGATGGGCTGTCACTTTTTAGGCCCCTTGAGATCTCTGTATCCTGAGCTCCTTACACAATGTCTGGCAGGCTGGAGGTGCTGTGCAAATGTGTAGACTGAACTCATATTTATGAATGACAGTGTCCTCATTTGTAAAATAAGCTTGTGATTTAGCTCCATACACACCTTCTCTATCTAGTAGGGTTTAGGTTCATGCTTCCCAGAGTTAAACAAACCATGCTGAGGGAGATAAGCATTATGGTAGGGTATAGCGTCTGGGTCCAATGTTCTAAATTCTTAGATTCATAATTCTGGTCTATCTGTCTGTCACTGTCTATCCATCTATCTATCTATCTATCTATCTATCTATCTATCTATCTATCTGTCTGTCTGTCTGTCTGTCTGTCTGTCTGTCTGTCTGTCTGTCTGTCTGTCTGTCTGTCTGTCTATCTACCTACTTGTGGCAGCACTAGGGTTTGAACTCGGGGCCTCCCTGCTTGCTAAGTAGGTGCTCTGTCTACCACATGTGCCATACCCCTGGCCCCTTTTGCTTTAGTTACTTCTTGTGTTTATGCTTAGGCCAACTTGGATTGCAATCCTCCTATTTACATTTACCACATATCTAGAATCATAGGAATGTGCTACTACATCCATCTTTTTATTAGTTGAAATGGGGGAGGATTGTCTTGCTGACTTTTTGCTCAGGTTGGCCTTAAACCATCTTCCCAGTCTCTATCTCCTGAGTAGTTGGAACTACAAGTGTTGTGAGACACCACACCTAGCTCTTTTATTGGTTGTGTATCTTTGGGCTTGTTGCTTAAACTCCTCATTTTCCTCATTTGTGAAGTGGAGTGGAAATACCGCAGGGTAGTTGGGAGGGTGGGCAGAGTTGTTGTTCTGTGTGGACAGTGTTCAGTGAGAGCTGGCTGTGACCATACAAACACATAGGAAGATTATTACTAAGGCAATTAACTCATCTTCTCTAGCCAGGTGCTAGGTTTAGGGACCTGGTGATCTGGGATTGCTAGACACACAGAGAAGGGGGACAGCTGCCTTAAAATATAATCATCTCTCTATGGTCTGTGTTTACATTGTCCACTTGGAGAATTAGTTCTATGGCAAAATTTCAGTTGCAGGCTAATTGCCTTCACTGTGTTCTCCTCCAGAGCTGTTTATGAAATGTGGTGTAAGTTTAATATTTGCATAAGCAAACATAATTAAGGAGGTAAATACAGTGCAAAAAAATCACACAATGATTTGCAAAGTCCAGCTGAAGCACTTCACACGCCTGCCAGTTTGCACTCCCTGTCCTGTTCTGGCTCCCACTGGCTGCTGCTGTCACCACTTTCTTTCCTGGGTGGGAGTGACGCACAGGGAAAGGGTCATCAGGGCCTCTAGGAAATGAAGGGGCTTTTTCCTGAGCTGAGCCCTGGGACAAGTGAGATAAATCTTTTCAGTTCTCATTTAGGCTGACAGCAGCCTGACTTGTGATGGAGGTTAACAGGGTGGAAAATAATGAAAAAATACCTACAGCTGAGCTCCTGGCTGCCTTGTTACCAGGCCTGTCCTATAGAACAAAGGAAATGACCCAGCCCCTGTGGGCTGGCTGGTTTAGTGTGGTATGGCCCCTTTGTGTCACATCAGCTATATATAATCTTGGAGCTGAGACCTGAACTCCTTATGTAAGGCATGCCCCTGCAGCTTCTCAGCCGTTTTGAGGCTGGAGTCTGGTAGATTGCGGGGAGGGGGTCCTCAGTCATCCCACTTGAGGGAAGAGGAGGGAAATTCTTAAGAAGCTATAAAGAGAGCTCAGACATAGTGGCTTTGGTCCCTTCTCATCAGTGTGGCTGCACTTTCGTTGTCTCAGGGCCTGCCTATAACTAACCATCCTGGTGAGTTTCAGTTTTGTCATCTGGGAAACAGATAGTGCGATGCCCATGTTGGGGGCTGCTTTGACAAGCAGAGGTAGGTCAGGTGTTCCATGCAGGCATGGTATCCTACCGAGTGCTCACTAAATGGAAGCTCACTAGTGATCCCTAAAACCAGAAGCTCTTTCCTTGTCTGAGGTGGGGTCCTGGGGCCTGAAGAGGCTGTCTCTGACCACTGTGCCAAGTCTGGCTCTGGTAGCAGCGAGAGTGCAGACTTTTGGGTCTGCTCTGTTTCCTGCCGCTATCCTGGCTTGGGCCCGAGGTAATTGTCTTGCCTGCCAGCATCTCACTGATGTGGGATGCTGTCTGACTTAATAACCGACCTTTGCATGATTCTTCACTACCTTTCACATAGGGGTTGCACTTAGAAATGGAGGCAGCACTTCAAATTCCAGAAACCCATGCAGGTAGCCCACCTTGAGTAGGAGATGGGCACTAGCCACAGTGATGCGGAGAAAAGGAGGTTTTAGAGGCCCTCTGGAATTAGGAACAACCGAAACACAACAGAATACAACAGAAATGCTGCTTTATAGGAGAAATGGAATTTTCCAGCTCCTTCAAGATGAGCTTGTTTTCAGGCTTGGAGGGACTTTGTGGACATAGAGGATGTCACCAAAAAACTCCAATTTCCTGTTCCCTCCCCTGTTTTGTGGTTGTTATTGTTGCTGATTTGAGGGTAAAGCATTGGGAAAGGGCTATTTTTTAGTTTGTCTATCCCTCTGGATGACCAGATGCCCCTCCTAAGAAACTTCAGTCTGCATCCTTCCTGCTTTAAGCCCCTTTTCCTAGCATAGGGGTCCCTGGGCTCTGATTAGCCGAGCACAGGTCACATGGGCACTCCTGAAGCTGCATCTGTGGCCAGGGAGATGCTGTGACCTGACTGAACAGGTCCAGGAAAGATGTCACCCTTGGAGCCAGATGTACATCCAACCACACTGTTCCCACTGGCCTAAGAATGAGTGAGAGGTGGTTCCTCAAGAGGAAGGGAGAAGTACAGCAATAGCTGTCCACTGGGCTCTCTCTTTTAGTCTTTTTGTCATCTTTTACTAGTTTTCCCTTAACAAAGAGTGCTCATTACTGCTCAGGGTAGCTCATTCCTCCTGGGAACAACTGTGATCAATAGAAAGTCCTCTTCTGGTCAAATGATTTTTCAAACCACAAGAGGGTAGCTTTCTCAAGAGGTTCTAATTCCTTCTTCATGGCAAAAGTCCACTTTGTAATTTCTCTGTCACCTCCTTCCATGTGTCAATTATTTGGCTTTGTGTTTGAGTTTTCTGGAAAGTGGGACAGACAGGAGGTAGCCCTAGAGTTGGGCATTGAAGGATGAGTAGGAGTCTACCAAGTGGGGAAAGGAGATTGGGAGGTGAGATTCTGCAGACTCACTCTCACATTAGACGTTGAAGGCAACTCAGATGAAAGATTCCAAAATGGCAGCTCACAGCTGAGTTTTGTTCTCAAGTGTAATCTGCTCAGTCCTCACTACATTAAGAAAACTTAAATCAACACTTATAAATTTCAGATAAAATCAGTGTGTGTGTGTGTGTGTGTGTGTTACAAATCAGAAGCTCCAGCAATACTCCTTGGCAGGAGTTCACAGGAGCTAAGTGACTGCCAGTTCCATTAGCGGGGCATGAGCCTCTCACCACCTGCAATCCCTGCTGTTTTCTGGTATGCTGTACCCAGTATGCTCCCTTACTTTATCTCCCCACCCGTGTGCATTTGAATTTGTAGCCTTACCCTTGAGCCTATCTACCACTGGGTCTTACATTCTATCATGTATCCAGATGACACAGAGAACTCGTTAAGTACACATGGCTGGTCTCCACCCCATAGTTTCTGATTCAGTAGGTCTGAGGTGAGGCCTGAGAATCTGCATTTTAGAAACTTCTTAGCTGATGCTGATGCTGCCTGTCTGGGGACCACACATGGAGAATGGCTTATCTGGTTGAACCTCCTTGTTTACAGAAAAGGAAGCTGAAGCCTACATCTGCAAAATGCAGAGTCTTACTAAAACCTGGGGTTTTGACTCAGGCTCAGTCCTGAGTCAAAATGCCTATGGGTCATACCAGCTGAGAGGTTCAGCATGCATCACACTAACTCTCCCCTCTCCCTCCACCATGCCCACGCCCAACCATTTGTGAGGCT